ACCTGGTGTTTTCCCCTTGTATTTCTAAAGGCATGACTGTCCTCCTGAAGTATTTGACAATTGAGCACCATGAATTATTTAAAGAGTTGTATCCACAAAAAAACTTGCTGCCCAAACACCATTTTATGGTGCATTATCCAGCCTTCACAAAATTGGACCGTTAGTGCACATGTGGAGCATGAGGTTTGAGACTAAGCATAAAGTGTTTAAGAATACACAAAAGAATTTCAAAAACATCACCAAATCTCTCACAAAAAGTCATCAGATGTAAATCTTTGGGAAAATACACCATTGAGTCAAGTTAAGTGTGGACCAATGAAAACATTTTGTTGGAATGTTGACAATGGTGAAAAGTTGTCAGGAATGCTACATAATCCCATTCAGACAAGCATACATTCCATGAACTGGGTCAAAATAGATGGGGCAGAATATAGACAAGACCTCATTGTATGCAATGAAATTGAGGATGAATTTCCTGTTTTCAGTAAGATTCGGAAAATACTTTTCATTGACGGCACTGTGTATTTTCTTGTCGACAAACTTTTCACAGAACATTTTTCAGAATATCATGCATTTAAAGTACAGAGATACTGTGAGTTGGGTGAGCTTTTAAAGCCAACAGCTTGAAGTTCTACAGGCATTTTGATCTGCAGTGTTTATATGGGTCAGATGATGGTGAATATATTGTTCCTTCTTTTGTGTTGGTGTAATTGTTACATATATGTTGAAAATAAAACAATATGTGTTGGGCACTAATGGTGTTAACAGTGAACACTTACAGTGTTGTTTTTTACACTAAGCAAGTGTAAAAAAGTAACACTATTTAAAGTGTAAGTTTAACTCTATTTAGCGTGGACCTATATAAACCCCGAAAAAGTGTTCATGTTCACACTGTGAGTGTTAATTTAACACTTTCAAATTTGCTGTGTAATATCAAGCGTAGCGTCAGTTCTGGCAGGTCACATTACTCAAGCTCGCATCAGCTGACTCTCAGCTGATCCACGTCTACCTATAGGAACACGACGCCTATCACTGTATACATATATAAGCCAGGGCTCTCAAGTGTCACGCATTGAGAATGACAGTCACTCATTTCGGTCTTTTGTCACGCACTCCCGCCACACATTGTATCTCTCACGCGGAAAAACTATTTATAATATATTTAATATGTCGCAGTGCCCAAAATTTCTCTGGCCGCGCCGCTCTCACTGTGGAACCGGCAGGAATCAAGCGCGTCTCCCCTGGAGTCGAGCCAGCCACTTATCAGCCAATTAAAAAAAGAAAAGGGCTACACAATAGCCAATCAGAAAATAGCACTATTGTATCGGAGTAAGATTTAACGCAACAACCAATGAAAAAAAGCATTTCCTGGAATTGTTCACGTGATTCTGCTACAACATCTTCCGAAAGTCTCGTTCACCCACAGAGGAAACCACTGGAGCTCCGAGCATCACTTTGAGCACAGAGTAAGTCATGATCTCCTGTTTTAATGTTACAATAAATTCACAACTTTTTTGACACAAACAATGGCAACTCTTGACTGCTGTTAGAGAATGTTTCCCAGATAATTAGCATCCGTGTTTTTCATGAGTGTCTGTAACTTAGCCAACGGTTTTACAGCCTGTTCACGGACAACACCTGCTCAGAACACACACACACACACACACACACACAGAGAAATTCCATAAATACTGTAACCTGTTCAAAATGCTGTTCTGTCACAAGTAAGGATGCATTAATGTTATTGTACTTTATGTATTTTATGTGATTCGATGTTCAAGTTCAACATGGAATAAGGCTGGGGGGAGAAGAGCACCTCGCTGGTTCAAGTGCGGTTCTCTTATAAGTCGGGTGTGTACGGCGTGGGTTGTGGCCGAAAACAGCCTATAATAAACACCTTTTGTTATTTGAAAACGTCTCGTCTTTGCCTGAGAACGCTACAATACTTTATACTTGGTTGAATTGTCAGTGCCATGTGTCAAATCTTGTCTTCTGCAAGTCTGAGCAAGTATTAATAACAACAACAAAAACACTAATTATAATATTATCAATGAAACACCCCTAATCCCGCGACACGTTTGTTTAGGCTTAGGCCTATCTGGTTGCATTGGAAAAATGCTCGCTCTTTATTCTATCTGATTATTGCAACATGCTGTGTTAAAGTTAGCACATGCTTGTGGCTAAAGCTATCTAGATTATCGGTAACATACTTATGCAAAATACATAGTAGGTACATTCACCGCAGAAGTCTGTTATTCAACACTAACAACATCGTAGCTTGATGGTTCTTGAAGGAGTGTGGAATCATGGGAGTCATCATCTTCTCCTCCACAGCCGATGGAATCAGTACGAAGGGAGCAAAAATCATGTTCATGAATGAGGAAGCACACTGTATTCATAGATTAGCTGTGCACTGCATCTGACTCAGAGCTACAGGGTGTATGCTTCCCCTGCCAAACTACACTAGTTATGATAGTGGTTATACAACATGCTGGTATCAGATTTTGTTGCCGCTAGTCTGAGCTACTGCATCGTGTATGCTTCTCCTACCAACCTACACTAGTTTGAGCAATAGTTATTTCATTATACAACATGCTTGTGTTTGCTGTCACAAAGCTTTGGGTGTCTACAATGTTTATTTCCACTAGATGGCGCTTGTGTACTTCAACACTCATTTATTTCAGTAACTTTTAATCAGTTTAATCTGTACATTTTTATATTTCAACTATTGTATAATGCTTGTTGTGATGTATATACTCAACTGTTGTATATTTGAGCAATAATTATTCATTCTAAGAGTTTTTTGGGTATATTTTATTTTGTTCCCATCGTGTCTTTGTATGTCACTTCCTGTTTTTGCCACGGAACAATGAGTCAGAACTGCGGTCTGAGTTTTACAATTCTGCTGATCACATAAAACGATAGCCTGGCTAACGCCAGACCCAATTCTCGTTGAGACTTGGGTCTGGGAACCACATCTTAATTTTCTCGTATTTGAGGCGTGGTTTACGAATGCCCAGAGCCGTTTATTGGGTGCTACCAATGTCTATCAATTGCGCCTGTACGTAGCTCATAGCCAATCGTTTCAATTATACCAGATGACGTATGTAGAGTGACAGAAATTAGACGATGGAGACGACGATGGCCGATGGGTCAGAGATGTATGTGTAGCCTACACGATGGCGTGGCGGCCGTTTCACGCCGGTTTCACACTGCACGCGTTGGCAGAGCGTAAGCAGCGCAGGAGCAGTGCGTACGGTGAGCGGAAGCAGGACACGCGCGTTTTGCTTTCATACTGGCAGCTTTTGACGCGCGCGGCGTGTTTACAGACAAAGTACTCTATAATGGCTAAGTTGGCATTGCTTTATTTCGTTTTCAAATACATTTAAGAGAAAAGACTTGTCAAGAAGCTTATTTCATTAATTAATAGGCTATATTATATAACTTTTGGTTAATATTTGTTTTTGTTGACTTTGTTTTCTGTTTAAATTGATGAAGGTCATTTGATTGACTGTTTAAAACACAATAGATATCACCAATGCGCTTTTGGGTCAAACTGCTGTGTATTTTGGCCATGATCAACATTGTCACTTTAATTCAGCGTAAGCCGCGCGGCAAAAATAGACAGGACGCCGAAACGATCGCGGCACTGCTGCTCCTGCTCTGCTCCTGCTACGCGCTGCCGCGCCGCCTCTGCGTGCAGTGTGAATGCTCTAATCTGTTAACATGGGCGCCGAAAAAAATACGCGCTGCTTACGCTCTGCTAACGCGTGCAGTGTGAAACCGGCGTCACACCGCATGCGTGAGCGGCGCGTATTTTTTCGGTGTGCATGTTAATCAATGAGTGCATTCACACCGGGAGCAGCACGTGAGCGTCGAGCGAGCAGCAGTGAGGCGGGGGTTTCGACGTCGAGTCTGTTTTTGCTGCATTGCTCACGCTAAATTAAAGTGAAAGCACACTTTTGATGGACAAAAATAAATATGATTTCACACAAAAAGTGCCCAAAATGCACAGATTTAGCATGTCTAGTGAGTTTTAACAAGAACTTGAGTAGGCAAATAAAAGAAAATAAAGACTATAAAATATTTATAGAAGATTTAGGCTACCCGGTAAAAACTTGTTTTTAATTATTCAGTTTGGGTGAAAGTTGTGTATTATATATATATAAAAAACTAAAGTAAACTAGCCAGAAAATATTATATATAAACGTTCTTTTAGTTAATGTAACGTTAACACACAGACAGCTACAGGCTAGCACAACCCAAATCAAACCCGAGTGTGTGGGTGATTTGTGTTTTGTTTTTTATCCGCGGAGTTGCAGTCTTGTAAACATCTAAAGTATGACTGAAACTAATAGATTGGAGCCATTTTCTGGGTTGTTTTGTTGTATAACATTTAACTTATATGCGAATGTTGTACACCTCCCCATTACAAACTTTCAAGACTATCAATGTTATAAAATGACCAACTTCTAAAAACAAATGTATAGTAAAGAATTGCTCGCTTATATATAATGCCGAAGTCATATTTCAATGTCTTTGGAAAACAAGAAAAAACACAAAATGACTTAGGCAATTATGCTATGAGGCTAACGATATGTAGCTTTGGAGCCGCTGCTGTGACACTGTACAAACGCTTCCAGTGTGAATACTCTTGCGCGTCTGCAGCTGCAGTGACGATGTAGTTACGCTGACGCGCTGCTCAAATGCCGCTCACACTTGCGGTGTGAAACCTATGTGTGAAACGGCCGTAAGGCTGCATCGAAAGGTAACTTCGCGTCTGCTGCCATGTTTGATCCATAGGTATAAACAAACTGCAATCGGTGTGTCGCATAGACGCGTCATCGTCTGGCTGCTCCCTCCCCGTTCTGTGATTGGTTCCCTAAATGAGGCGAAAATTTGGTCCATGGTATCCATACTGCCTTTCTGCGTGAATAAAATCGCGCTGCGGGAAGGCAGCATGGGGAAACCCAGACTAATAAAACGATGTAATCATCGCAAAGTTTAAAGTATTTATTTTTATGATTATAAGTCATGCAATCAAGAAGCTTCAAGATGTAACCCCCTCTCTTAGCTCACAAGCAGGCAAAAGTGGTATGTATTTTCTGTTTATGTATGAGTTTAAAGTCATGTGTGTTCCCTTTCGTTGTCACTCCGAGTTCCGTCGGATGACGACGAATGGGGTTTCGCTTAGAAAGCCTATCGACTTCGAGTATACAAAACGAGCCAATGGCAAACAAATGCCATGGGTCTGCGGAATTTGCATGGCGCAACTCCGCCCCACCTCGTGGGGATAAAAGGAGAAAGCCGGCAATATGCAGATATGTTTTTGCTTCGGAGCCAAGATGTTCTCTTCACTCCTGCAGTCTATTATCTGACTATCTTCGAGAATCTTCGAGACGAGCAGCTTCCAGTCGGTGTTGGTGTGATGGCGTGTTCCAGCGAGTTTCACATTCCTGCCTGCTGATCTGAACAGCTGTGTGCTTCTCCCTGGGCGCTTCAGCACTGCTGCAAGCTTTTCTCACACAAAAAGAGCGTGCACGCGGCGCGTCTTTTTAAAGACGATCTGCCCGTGCATTTCTGAGTGCGGTAGTCTGATAGATTCAGCTGATGGGCACGAGCGCTGTTTTGACGTGTTTGGGCTTCAATCACGTTCGAACAGCGCTGGCGGATGCGTCACGTTCTCTAAAGGGAACATGACCATCGCAATGTAACGGTCAAGACTCAATGAGCTCAACTGAGTGAGAGTCCCCTCATCCACACCCCGATCTATTTTCTCCACGTGAGAGAATACTTTGGCTGGTGGCCAGGGTGACCTGAGATGGCCGGTGTGGAATTAAACCGCCGATTAATATCCGTGGTCCACACCCCTCTCTTTAACATTGCAACCCGCGCGGTTCTGAATGAGTTAGCTGGTCAGAGCCGCGTCCAGAGGACGCCGGCGGGCCGGCATCTCATTCAGTTCCCCAGGCTGATGAAATCATGTCTATCGCCGCGTCACAAGGTGAGCTGGAGTCCTTTGGAAGTGAGGGCTCGTCTATGTTGCCACTCTCGGGTGTGCAACATAGCGAGTCTGATCCAGAGTTGACAGCTATGCTTCCCGGGCCGCCGCGAGTATCGGGCATTTGTGGATTACTCTGCCATGTCTCGAGCACTCAAGGCTGATGATTGGTTTTGGGGAGGCGAACCCAAAATCCTTTCTACCCGGATGTGCATGAAGAGGTTATGAGATCGTGAGATTTTCCTTTGACTTTCGCGACTGCTCAGCAGCCTCTTCCACCTTCTCTGCCCTCGAGAGGCCGCGGCCATGGGTACACTGGGGTTCCCCCCGTGGAGTGTTCTGTGGCAGCACGTCTGTGCCCCCACAGCGCCTCCACCTGGCGTGGCGACCCTAAGCACCCCTCCAATGCCTGTAGGTTTTTTGTCTACTCCGGTGGCAAAGACCTATAGAGCAGCGGACAGGCTGCCGTCTCACTGCATGTTATTGCCATCCTTCGGGGTGCTCAATGACATGCACGAGGGTAGGGCTGATTCAGGGCTCATCTAAGAGACTGCCTGCCGCCACCGACCTCGCTCTACGAGTGACGAAGGTGACTGCACGCTCCCTGGGTCAGGTGATGTCCACTTGTGTGGTCAGACATTTCTGGGTTAACCTGGTTGATATGCGCGAGGCTGAGCGAACCCGCTTCCTCAACTCCCCCATATCCCAGGCTGGCCCTTCGGCGGCGCGGCCGAGGACTCTGCCTAACAGTTCTCGGCCGCCCAGAAGCAGACTGAGGCTACCAAACACGTTCTGACCCCGCGGCCAGCTGCTGCCGCCGGCTCAGACGCCTCAGTCAGCTTGCCGCCGAACGCGCCCTCCTGCGACTTTCGCCCCCTCCCGCCCGGCCCCAGCAGCTCCGGGCCGCGCCGTGGAGGTGGTCGCAGGAAAGCGCCCCAGCCCGTCCGATCAGACAATACCGCGACTGTAGCGTACATCAACCGTCAAGGTGGTCTGCGCTCTCGCCGTATGTCGCAACTCGCCCGCCACCTCCTATTTTGGAGTCAGAAGCATCTGAGGTCGCTTCGTGCCATCTATATTCCAGGAGCTCTGAACTGTGCAGCCGACGAGCTCTCACGGTTTCAGCCCCTCCCGGGAGATTGGCGACTCCATCCCCAGTCGGTTCAGCTGATTTGGGACCAGTTCGGGGACGCACAGATAGATTTGTTTGCCTCTCACGACTCGACCCATTGCGCGCTCGGCACGGATGCACTGGCGCACAGCTGGCCGCAGGGCCGCAAATATGCGTTTCCCCCAGTGAGCCTTCTTGCGCAATTCCTGCGCAAAGGTCAGGGAGGACGAGGAGCAGGTCACTCTGGTCGCGCCGTACTGGCCCACCCGGACCTGGTTCTCCGAACTCATACTCCTCGCGACAGCACCTCCTTGGCCGATTCCTCTGAGGAAGGACCTCCTTTCTCAGGGACGGGGCACCCTGTGGCACCCTCGTCCCGATCTTTGGAACCTCCACGTGTGGCTCCTGGACGGGACAAGGCAGGTTTGAGTACCCTACCACCAGCGGTGGTGGCTACCATCACTTCCGCTAGAGCGTCGTCCACGAGACACGTCTACGCGTTGAAGTGGAACCTCTTCGTCAACTGGTGCTCTTCTCACTGAGAAGACCCCCGGAGATGTTCGATCAACGTCGTGCTTTCCTTCCTTCAAGAAGGGTTGGAGCGAAGGCTGTCTCCCTCCACCCTCAAGGTCTATGTCGCCGCTATTGCCGCACAGCATGATCTTATAGAAGGTAAGTCGGTGGGGAAGCATGACCTGATCGTCAGGTTCCTGAGAGGAGCGAGGAGACTGAATCCTCCTCGCCCTCCTCTCGTACCCTCTTGGGACCTCGCAGTGGTCTTAACCGCCCTGCGTAGTGCTCCCTTTGAGCCTTTACAGTCAGTCGAGCTTAACTTCCTGTCAATGAAGACGGCGCTTCTGACTGCATTGGCCTCCATCAAGAGGGTAGGGGACCTGCACGCATTCTCCGTTGACGAAGCGTGCCTGGAATTCGGGCCGGCGTACTCTCACGTGATCCTGAGACCCCGGCCTGGATATGTGCCCAAGGTTCCTACCACTCCCTTCCGGGACCAGGTGGTGAACCTGCAAGCGCTGCCCCGGGAGGAGGCAGACCCAGCCTTGGCACTGCTCTGTCCAGTACGTGCGCTCCGCATCTACGTAGACAGGACGCAGTGTTTCAGGACCTCAGACCAGCTCTTTGTCTGTTATGGTGGGAAGCTGAAGGGAAAGGCTCTCTCCAAGCAAAGGTTGTCTCACTGGTTAGTGGACACCATTGCTTTGGCATACCAGCAGCAAGGTCGACCGTGCCCCCTTGGTGTGACTGCCCACTCCACCCGGAGTGTGGCGTCCTCTTGGGCTCTAGCGCATGGCGCCTCGCTAACAGACATCTGCAGAGCTGCAGGCTGGGCGACACCTAACACATTCGCCAGATTCTACAATCTCCGAGTGGAGCCAGTGTCCTCTCATGTACTCGCTTCAACCAGCTAGTACCGGACCCGCTCAGGTGTCTTCGCTTGCTCGCCATTCCACTCTACGGACTGGATACGTGCGATATTCTCCTCAGGTGAGCTTCTCCGAAAGCCCTGAGTTCCTCCAGCACTCCTGACGTCGGCGCCAGTGTCTCTTGCCTGCGCGTCGGCTAGGTGCCTCCCGTGTGCATGGTACCTCCCGGAGCTACCCCCACATGTGTATTCCCACTGTAAGCCTCTCTGAGCATGTGTCTTTCCCTTGGCAAGCCACCTTGCCACCCCTGGGGTTGAAATATTCCACCTGCGGCTGGATACCCCAGTGATTCCCCATATGCATCCCTCGGGTCATATGTGTATTTCTAAGTCCCCCCCCTCTGGGTTGGCAGTAATTGCATACTTCCCTGAGACTGGGATATGCTCCCCAGTGTACCTTGGTATTCCTGTGTTAAATAGGAGTCCTTCGTCCGTGCTAGTCTCACGACAGGGATCTCAGATTTACGCAGGGCACTGGAAGACAGCTGGGAAGGTGGCGTGATTAGACTGGTATCCCCATTCGTCGTCATCCGACGGAACTCGGAGTGACAACGAAAGGGAACGTCTCGGTTACGGATGTAACCCTCGTTCCCTGAGTAGGGAACGGAGACGTTCCGTCTGCCTGCCACTTCCGCTGTACCGCTGGAACAGCCGAGTTCAGTCTTGGCTCCTCAGCGAAGAAACATATCTGCATATTGCCGGCTTTCTCCTTTTATCCCCACGAGGTGGGGCGGAGTTGCGCCATGCAAATTCCGCAGACCCATGGCATTTGTTTGCCATTGGCTCGTTTTGTATACTCGAAGTCGATAGGCTTTCTAAGCGAAACCCCATTCGTCGTCATCCGACGGAACGTCTCCGTTCCCTACTCAGGGAACGAGGGTTACATCCGTAACCGAGACGTTTTCCATGTAACTGACTGTATACATGTTTTTGTTGTATATTCATCCTTTTAGTTCTACGGTGTTGATTTTGATGTCTGAGTCCAGAGAGCATTAAACATCAGTTAAAAGAACCTCAGCCTTCGTGTTGTGACTAAGAGCGGTACAATGCTTGTTGTATCGGTTTTGTTGCTGCTAGTCGGAGCTATTGCTGTAGGATGTATGCTTCCCCTACCAAACTACATTAGTTTTAGCAATAGTTCTGCGATTTATACAACATGCTTGTTGTATCATCTTTTGCTGTCGCTAGGGGTGTAAGCTTCCCCCAATATTTTCAGGTATTGGCAACATGCTTGTTGCCTTGGCTCACTCAGGTAACTGCAAAAGCATCCAGAATTGCACTGTCAGTTGGGTTTGGGGGATATTGGCATATGGTTTTGTTTTGGGGGGTCATTGCTGCTCTCCCTGCTCTTATCTATGCTAGGCTGCATGGATGCGCAGGGAGTTCTCGCCCAGAACGGAACCATACCGCCAACCCAAACTGTATGCTAATTGTCAATCGTATTTGACGATAGTGGTCCTGACAGAAATCAAGCGTAGCGTCAGTTCTGGCAGGTCACGTTAGTCAAGCTCGCATCAGCTGACTCTCAGCTGATCCACGCCTACCTATAGGAATACGACGCCTATCACTGTATACATTAGGGGTGTAACAGTTCACAAAATTCACGGTTCGGTTCGATACGATACACTTGTCACGGTTCGATATGTTTTCGATACAGCAAAAAGAAAGAAATGCCAGAGAAATTTCCTTGATTTTTTTATATATTTTTTTTTATTAAAACTAACATAAAGTATGAGAATTTTTTACTTTGAGCAATGATCGAGCTATACTTGACTCTTCTTAGGAGCATATAAAACAAAAACAGCATAAAACAAAAAAATTAAATGTAATATAGTAGTAGTTATAAACAAAGGTTTATTTTTATTTCAGATTAACATTTGAGGGCAGCAATTTTATTCATAATGTCAAAATAAAACCGATGTAACGTTACTTGAAAGCATTGTAGCCTACTATTCCTGCCAAACTTCCATGGTTACAGTTACATGGTGAATGTTGCTGATCTGTGGACACTGGATAGTTAATTCATGCCACAATGTTTCTTCCTGGTTTCCACGTCAGCACACTTTGATCCGTTAATAACGAAGAAATGTGAATGCTTCCCACTAGATCTTGCAGCAATGTATTACTTCAGTGGCGAATTCAAATGCTTTTTTTTACTGGATGTCTTAGCGCTGTGTATTAGTGTCGCTTGATCAAGATCGGCTCGCTCTGCATTGGTCCAAACTGATAAACGGTCCGTGAAACACAAAATAACGAGTAGCGCAGCTCCATTCCGCTTTCGTTACGTTTGCCATTTGATGTTGGGTAATGTTGTGGTCGTGCCAGTGCGCGCTTGCCACGTGCCTACATTTGAAATAACCAAATAACCTCATTAGAGTCACCGCAACAAAAGCGCTCGTTGTATGTGTACACAAATGAAGATCTGCTGTGAGGAGACCCGGTTCTGACGCCTGTACTGAACTGTGATGGGCAACATCACTACTATGATGAGAAAAAACATGTATGCTTGAGCATTTTGCCCTTTTAGGGTCGTATCTTGTGACACCATGTCCTGTTTTTGGTTTGTTTTAATGTCTTTGGTCCGTGTTGTGTTCATATATCATTCGAACCGCACCAGAGTTCAATTGGAAGCGAACAGAGATCCATATTTTCAGCGTCTCGGTCCTCTTGTTTGGTGGCACCAGGGTTCAGACGGCAGCGTTCACACTAATTCAAATGAACCGCACTAACAGAGCAATCGCACCAGGGTTCGTTTTAATCCAACCAAACATCCCAAGTGTGAAATGGAAGCTTTAGCGTTAAGTTCTGCCAGGAAGACTCAATTGCTACGTCACTTATTACCTTCTCATCTATCCAATCGTGTCTAATACTTGCGGTATAAAAGACCAGTACTTACACATGTTTGAGTTCGCAGATGCTGACGCTTTCATTCACCTCCATCCTCCCCACCACCACCAGGATGGTCCCTTCCCCTCCATCCTCCCCACCACCACCAGGATGGTCCCTTCCTATACCTCACAGGGGGTCGGCTGCGCCCCTGCCTTCGTCTTCAGGCAGGAAATGCAGAGTCCGGACCCTCGGATTGCGAGCTATGGACGGGGCCTACGCCAAAGAACTTTATTGCTTGCTGGGCTATCAATAAATGTATTTATTGTTACAGTATATATTCTCCCGAGTCTTTCTGGTAGAACTAAATAAACGTGTCATTAGAGTTATGCAGCTAAACATGGTAACCCTGTTGAAAGCGCCAATGCTTTTCACTTTAACCTCTCATATTCGTAACTTAGACGGCACACAGCAAAATCCCCAGTGTTAAATTAACAGTCCTCGGTGTACATATAGGTGAACACTGAAGCATTGTTGAAGTTACTGAGATAATTAAGTGATTAATTAAGTGATGATTGGCCATTAGTGGTGACACCCGATGTTAATAAGAAGAATCATTGAAGGAAAGAGAAACAACAAGAACAGAAAAAAGAGAAACACAAGAATTACTGACTTCGAGCCATTACACATTATTGCACTTATAGACGATAATATTTTATGGAATTTTTCATTTCAAGTCACCATTATGATGGTCAGCGTTTGCTTTTTAGAGTTGAGCTCTTGACCATTTTCTTTTTTTTATTGTTAGATTTTCTCTGTCTGTTCAAACATTGTGTTTATAATGCACATTTGTTACTGCAAGAGAAAACCTGCTCACAACATGTTTTGATGATGACATTATCATCATGTAGTGACCTGACTCACGTTCGGAGTCTAAATCTTTGACTATATGCTTGATGTCTAATTTTAGCATTGATGATTGCCCTGAGATTCTACAGTTTGAGATCCAACAGCAATATGAACAATTTTGAAAATACTTTGTGCACAGAAGCTATTGTGTTTGGACACACAGACATCAAGAATCAGGATATGAAGCTCAACAATGGTGACAATAAACAAACTAGTGACAATAAACAAACTAGTGACAAACAGATCAACTCTGAACATGACAAAACAAGCTACTAAAGTCATAACAAAACAATAGCAAAATAAAAGCAAACAGGAAAAACCAATGAAAATTACAGGACAATTCAGCTGCATAATTTATTCATGCCGCAATGCATGATGTGAGCCATAGATGCGTTTTGATTGGTGGCTCCCATCATGCATTGAAACATGAAGCATTTATGTGATTGTCACCATTGCTGAGATTCATATGTAGATTATTGATGTCTGTGTGTGATTTTAAAACCTTCAGATTTCTAAAGCACTGCTGAAATTAGCTACTGTAATGAATACGAATAAAACATTTGTATAATCAGTTTATAGTGCTGGTTCAATGTATCAGGCCACTACCGGATTGTAGGATTTGATTTGATTTAAACATTTCCATCGTTACCTGGGCTTCATTTCCTAAGCCTAACTTGATCGTAGAATAATTGCAACAAATGGTCTGTACAATCAAATTAGGCTTACGATGCTTTTGGGAAACTCAGCCCAGGTCATAGTTTATCTTGCCACAACAAATGTGCTTTATGAACACAGAGTTGGAGCGGCCAGATAAAAACTAACATTAAAAAGTAAAGGGTCAAGAGCCCAACTAAAGCAAACAATGAAACATTCCATAAAACATCACCATCTAAACTTCTGTAAATCTAAATAAGATTGTGTGTAAATGTATGACAGATAAAGTCAAACTGGTAATAATAAGTGCAATAATATGCAATGGCTCGAAGTCAGTAGTTCTTGTGTGTCTCTTTTTTTCTGTTCTTGTTGTTTCTCTTTCCTTCAATGATTCTTCTTATTAACATTAGGTGTCACCACTAATGGCCAATCATCACTTAATTAATCACTTAATTATTTCATTAACTTCAACACTGCTTCAGTGTTAATTTTAAACACCCTATAGTTGGACCTATATGTACACCAGGAGTGTTATTTTAACACAGCAATTACATACAATAGACCCCTTGCAGCTGCATAAACACCATTGCGTAAATGCTATATATTTCCAGTGGCAAAAGTCTCCCATTATGGACTGACTTATTCCCCTCTGTTTTACTTTGGCCGCTTGCTTGGTAGGTTTGGTTGCTTATTTCACAGATATTAGGGGAGTTTATTGCATCTTTATACAAAAATGTCAACCTAGGCTGTCACACAGTATTAGAAAACAGTTACTGTCATATCTTGTTGTGTGATGTGATGAATGAGAGAACCCAACATATCCTTGACATTCTTCACACTGAATTACATGTCCACGAACGCCACATGAACAGAAGCCTTAGCCTTGAGAGATGGGTACTGTTACTGATAAATCTCCCTTGTATTATACCATTTGGAATAATTTCCTGAAGCATACTTCCAAATGGAAGTAATGTTTAATTTGCTCAACAACAAGATAAATAATGATGTTAGGGGATTGTAGTAAACACCTCCGCATATGACTTTTGGTAAGTCTTTATTTATAATGCATTATAAGGGTATTCTTAATGCATTATAATACATGCATACTGCTTATAAACAAATTTATTATATGTTGCATCATCTGATAAATAATAATAACAACAGTTACAATACATTATAATACTTACCTATTTGTGGTTATAACTTTTAAGAGCACAATGCGTTATAACACCAGATGAAGCACTGCACACATAATGCCTTACAAACAACCATATAATGTGCTGTATCATCTCATGAATAATTGTAACAACAGTAATAATACTTACCTATTTGTGGTTATAACTATTAAGAGTATGGTGATGTATAACACATAATGAACATCATTTTATCCACTTAAGTTATAATGGATTATATATCCCATATTTTCATATCTTTTACTTTCCCAAGTCGGTTTCACTTTATTTGGATGGTCCCTTTAACACATTCAGTTGACTATAAGAAACATTGCACCTACATGTCTACTAACTCTCATTAGAGTGTTAGCAGACTGGTAGGGTTAGGGATATAATAAGTTGACATGAAGTTACTTATAACCAGTAGAATGTCTGTTGGAAGAGCATC